AAGAAATTATGCATTTTAACCTTTATATGCTAATTCGTACTTCATTTGCGTTATAGGGGTTAAAATGCACGGTAATTTCTTGTCATATCAGCTATTTATATAGCCTATGTTTACAAATAAAAACTAATTTTAAAGCAGGCTGAAAAATCCCAAGATCCTGACCCAAAATACCGACTTCCAAACATAAATACATTCTATTCTGATCTTTTTTGAAAATGTAAAATATACTACTACTAGCCTATTATTATGCCCTATTATTATTATTGTTGTTGTTGTTATAATTATTTATTATTATTATTATTTATTATTAGATACTCCCAGGGTTCGAAATTAACTTTTTTGATCACCAGCCAAAGTGGCTGGTAACTTTCTGAAGTTACCAGCCAATCAGAATTTCCATTAGACAAATTTTTACATGGTGAAAATAAGAGATTATGAATGCCACTGAATGAAACACACAGAAAGTGCAATACACACAACAAACTATACAGTTATAAACTGTTATAAACTTAACTATACATCTTCATCATTTCCAAGTTGGATGGAAACACCTCAAATATCTTCAGAGCTCTCTGAACTCATTTCTTCATCTGAATCTGAAGTTTCTTTTGTTATGTTTTTGCGCACAAACTCAGGCCTGCGTCTGCGCAAACTGTCAGCATGCCAGATGCTAATGGCTTTGGTTGGATCAAAGTCTTTGATGTCAGGTGAGCACAACTGGGTTTTCAGGAGGTCAGAGAGGGACTCACCTTTCAGGCGTGAACGCCAGTCACTCTTTACCTGCTTCATGACACTGAACCCTCTTTCACAGTCAGCTGTACTTGCAGGGATGGTGAGGAGAGCATCAAATAGGTCAAGGATGTCAGGACACCGATGGCGCAGCATTTCTGTTCACAGCAGGCCAGGTTTTCTCAATGGTTCCTGCAGCAGGGTCAGACAACATTATACTCTTGCAAACAATCATTTTAAAATGCAACTTTATGTAGTTATTAAAAGATGTCATCAAATTTGTAACGCACTTTTAACAAATGAAATTTACTCTGATTCCTGATAAACAAAATAAAACTGTCTTACACTATTAGAAATTTAGCTTTTTAAGCACTTGTTTAAAAATGTTACTGTTAAAGTATATCAGTGTGATTTTTATCATTTTCCAAGTACCTTGGCTAAATCCTGCTGTGTACAGTTCAGCCTTGAGAATAGTCCACTGATCAGGGATCAAGTCCACATCCACACCAGCAGACAGCAGAAGAGGTCGGAAGTGACTAATCAGCTTGTTTATCTCCTCATCACCAAAATCTGAGAACAAGGAAAAACATTACTACAAAGTTCAGAAGTTGTCTTAAATCATAAAATGCATTGACAAGATTTGTCCATTACTAACCGAAACTCATGTCTGCCTCTGGCCAGCACTGGAAACTGGTCAGTCGCATAGCATGCAGGGGGGTATTCCAGAAAGCTTGGTTAACTTACCATTTGGTAAACCATAAACTCGGGATTGATATACCCCAAACCCGCATACCATGAGTATGTCGGTTCCAAAACACCTGAGAAGAGTAAGTTCAATCAACCTCCTATTGGTTACCCAGAGTTAATG